TCAGCCTGGATTACCCTTCTGTCCTCAGGTATCATCGGCGAACTTGGCCAGTCTGCCTCTGACTCCAATGTCTACATCATTAATGAATATGTTAAATAGCATAAGCCCTAGGACAGAGCTTTGAGGGACCCAATTGCCCAGTCAGCGGATCGTGGTGAGGCCAAGGCCCCAGCTGGCCAGTTTTGCCAAGAGGTGATCATGGGATACCAGATCAAAAGTTTTTTTAAAGTCAAGATATATGACATCAGTCTCTTCTCCCTTGTCCAGGTGGTAAGTCACCTGGTTGTAAAAGGAAATGAGATTGGTCAAGCAAGACCTACCCGCAACAAACCCGTGCTGGCTATCCTTCAGGATGTTTCCATCAGCCAGCCTGTTAAGGATGGCCTCTTTAAGAGTCAATTTTCTTCCAAGGGTCTAGAAATTGAATTCAAAATTGTTACAAGGAGAGAATGAGAGTAACTGGAAAACAGGATTTCTTATGAAATGGCTGTTTGGGAAGTAAATGGATTAAAAACTATTTCCAAGGTGATGGTTTGGATTTCCTGAACAGGAAGGTGTTGCATCTTAGACTAAAGGGTTAGTGTAATATCTGCTCATTCCACAGCTGTTTCAACATAGCTAAGAACGTTTTAGCTTGGTCTCTCATTGAAATCTAACTGGATTTATTAGGTGCATTTCCCCAGAAGAACACATTGGTGGATCACGTATAAAGACACTGGTTCAAGAAGTTAATCCTAAACTTTTATAAACACCCTACTTTCTTCTCCACCTAGAAGCAACTTGGTAAGATCTTGGGATGTCTTGCAATGATGTACACCCTGAGGTCCTGACTCTAAAACAATTATCGCATGACTAGATGACCATTCAGAGCCAAATTTTTGCCTTGAGTTGGCACAGGGGTCTGCAAATTGCACCAGTCTTACCTTGAGATCTATTTTGAAGACCGATGTGCTCTTGAAGTAATGCAGTTGTCTTGTGTTAGCCCTCCTGGCCCTCCATCCAGGGACAAATTGTTTGAGTCCACAGGCACTGAGCTCATTAGAAAGATAACTGGCCCAGAATTAAACATTGGATCAGAGCTGCAATGAACAGTTAAGGGTGAGGCTGAGCACACAGAAATATGTCTTGCACCCTCCAGGCTCTTGTAAAATAACTCTACAATGCTCCCTTCTAGATAGCCCTGGATTTAGGAACTAAGACAAAATCTGTTGACTGAGAGGATATTGTGCTACTGATGTATATCCCTGAGCCACTCAAATGCCACAAAATAGACTTAGATTCACTCCTGTTTTGTCAGCAGGCTGGTACTCGATTGAGTATGGCCGATAAAGATTTAAGATGAAAGATATCATCCCAGCACAATAGTATGTGGGTTTGGGAATTCTCTAATAATCATAAGCTGTGATCCAAACAATTAAAGCAATTATATGAGTTACACATACTGAAGGCATTATTGGGCAACTGATAAAGACCTCATGCATGAACAGTGTCTCATCTTCCTGGAAGTCCAAGAAAGTATATAAAACTTATGATTCAGGGCTCCTCTGTCCATTCCCTTCATCGTCTTCTTGCAGAACTGGGTAAGTGCAATTCATCTCACTCCAATTTTAAATAGCAATACATAGGTTTAGTGCTAGTTTTAATTGAGGGCTAAATCCCACATGGATGCTGTGTCGTTCTTAGCAATAACTCCAAGAGTCACCTTGTAGTTTTCTCTTGCATGCACTGGTGTTAAATATAGGGTACGATTTCTCAGCTATGTCAGGTGCTGGGACACAAACTTTCCATCAATTGTAAGTGGGGAATGTGCACCTAAATCTCTTAGAAAAAGGAGCAAGTTGTAATGAGGAAAGCAAGGGTGTGAATGTGCAGCCTATCACTTGCTCTGGGATAAGTGCCTGTGTGCATGCTTCTGCCTTGCAGTAAATCAAAGCAAACCTGCGCTGGCTTTTACCCCTCAGTGAACGAGCTTTTACACACACTCCTTTTAGTACTTTCAAAGCTGGTTTGCAGAGAGGCAAGCAACCATGAGTTCCTGAACCATTACAGGTAAGCACAGAAAACTGAGATCCTGGGATGCAGCTGGTCTTCATTGTCATAGCTGCTTTGGGGGTAAAGAGGATGTTGACTATCTAGAAAAGCTGAGATCTGGTCTGGTGCTGAAATGGCTTTAACAGGGGAACTGCCATGACCAACATTATCCTCAACTGACCCTGTGCTTTAATTTTCTAAAATGGTTTGAAAATCCCTCCTTCCTTATCACCCTCGGTCTTTCTAATATGGGCCATGTAGGCTGAAGGGAACAGAGGAGTTTTCGATGAAGACTGTGGAAACCTGCATTCAGCCATGGACAATCTCTGCAAACATGGGTCAAAGATCAAGCCAGGGCAGCAAGCCACACGCTAGGCCCAACTGCGCCCTGGCCCTTAGTGGCTCTGTTTGTCAGCTACCCACCTGAAAAACGGGCATCGTAATTCCTTCTTTCAACTTGTCTGTTTAGTTTGTCAACTTTTTAGGGCAGAGTCAGTCTCCTGCTTTGCATTTGTGCAATGCCCCACCTGGCAGAGGCCCCGATCCCCACAGTAAACAACAGCCCCGACAAGAACCAGCAACACCTTGTGGTCTAGCCCCAACTTGCCCATGGCTCATTAAAGTTGGGCAAGTCACTCAGCCAGTGAGCTTTAATTGTCTCTACCCCGGAACAGGGGTATCGGCAATCCATTCCTACGTGGGCGTCATGTAGCTCGGTGGCATTAGGTGAAGTAGTGGAGAGGTACATGGCGCCTATCACTTCTGTAGCAATTTTAGAGAGCAAGGGCAGGAAACAGGATGGGCAGACAGGGGGTTTGGTGCAAGCTGGAAGTGGCTCTGGGGAAGACCCTCGAAAGGGTTTTCAGATGAAGTGCCTCTAGTTAAGAGGACGTTGGTTGCAGGGGGAAGGTTTGGAGGTAGAATAAGATGGACTCAAGGGGCTTGCTGGTAGGAAAGCCCCATGTGAAAGTAATGATAATATGATGGGAGCACAGACATAGCCACCAAAGGGATCACAGGAGCATAGGACTGACAGGGACACCCTGGCTCATCCATTCACCCCCAAGGTTCACCCTGTAGGTCGCACATGGCTGCTGTTGCCCTAATATCTGATCCCATTAATCCACTGACCTTTATGCTTTAATATTACTTTGTTGTTTGCTTCCAGGTTCTTGTCTGTCTCTGAACAATGTCTTGCAACACTGATCCCTGCACCGAAGGGCGCCCATCGCCGTGCGAGGTGAAATGCCCACAACCTATTGTGACCAGCACCAATGAGGCATGCGTTGTGTCCTGTGGAGACTCCCGAGTGATTATATACCCACCACCTGTCATTGTGACCTTCCCAGGACCCATCCTCAGCACATGTCCTCAGGAAAGTTTGGTGGGGGCGGCTGTTCCCTGCGAGTCAGGGGTGCCTCAGTCAGGGACGACGGTGCCCTTGACGTCCGAAATCGGGGGGAGCTCGGGGTTCTCTGTGCCTTTGAGGTCCGAAATTGGGGGGAACTCAGGGTTTTCTGTGCCTTTGAGGTCTGAAATCACGGGGAACTCGGGGTTCTCTGCTGAGAGATTGTATCTGAACCACGAACCTGAGCAACCTTCCACCTACATGTACTCCTTCACTTCCCAATGGAGACATCCTTGCAATAGACCACGTTGGAACAGATATCAGTCCTCTTACATGAAGAAGGAAGAGCCAGAGGAGGAGGAAAAACCAAAGGAGTGGCATGTAGACACAGAGGAGTCCTCGTGAGCATAGCTTGCACAAGGTTTGAACATCTACAGCTCTAAAGGCAGCCAGAGCTGTAGGGATTCAACACCTCCTGACAACACATTTAGGTTTGTCTCTCTCAGGTTACACTTCACTTTAGATTTAGGCTCTTTCCCCCAAGGGCTTCCCAGAAATGTGATTAAACAGTCATTAACACTGCAAGACTGATTCCTTGAATCACAGAATAATTGAAAATGAGGGCTGGAAGGGACGTCAGGAGGTCGTATCTAGTCCAACCCCTGCTTAAAGCAGGACCAGCCCCAAAACAGGACCATCCCCATCACCCTGCTCAAAGCAGGACCATCCCACATGCAGCACATACTCACAGAAAATCTGGAACATACATGACGTAACGCTCGTTGACACTAATCTGCATAATTTGTGGCCAGATCGGGTGAAAAGTGTCACTTCTGTCTGCACCCTAAAGTCTGTGTGCATCATCCTTCAGGGTAACAAAGGCAGGCACTACAAGATTTAAGTGTATGTTTTGAGCCATGTAAATGAGCCTTGATTTCACAGAGAGTTTGGCACGCTGTATGTTCCCCTTTTTCCTATGTAGCTGTGCACTTTGTGTCTGGCTTTTAGTTATGCTACACAAGATGTGCAGTGGAGAAGCTGTTCAGTCCTCTGCTTATATTTTGCTTTGTCAAAAGGAAAACTCTCTTGTGTGAAACACATAACTACGAAGTGAGGGAATGGTTGTAGCTTGAATGGAGATATGGCCTTTATCTTTTCCATTCTCCCTTTTTTAAATGTTATGCTTTACCTCTCCTTCCCATTAAAACTTCTGCAGCAAAATAATATCGACCTCATGGTTTTTCTTTCTCCTCTGTTCTTTACGTGTAAACAACTTCAGAGGCATATTGTCGGATCTAACGACGTTCATCCCACTCAGTCCTGAAATGAAAGGAAAACGCGGTGATAAAGAGCTTTGCACATATCTTTTGAGTGAGTGGTTGTTGTTATCTGTATTAGTAAGTATTCTCCTTCTGAAAGAGAACATCTGCTAGCTAAAAGGTAACATAAAGAAGCATAAAAAAATTAAGTAAATGGCTTCCACTTGAAATGATTTCCCCCCTCTAAACAACGCTTACTTATGACAAAGGAGCATTGCCCACCAGTAATCTTTGCGTACATCTTGAACCCATTTTCAATAACTTTGAATATTACATGATTGTTGCTCTGTATGGGAACATCTTAAAAGGGTTTTTACTTGAATTTTAAATTTCATCCGATTGAAAACCATTAAAATACTATAGACAGCTATGGGCCTTAATCTTCCCCTACCTAAAAATTAAAGTTACATATATATCCTTCACTTCAAGCCTGTGAGTTGGCTATCTGATCTCTATGAAAATACTATCAGGGTTATAATTAAACATCCCTGCAAAGTGAAGTACCAAGCTTGTACAGACAAAGGAAACTTCCTGCCGAATCCTTTATCAGCACAAAGATAAGACTGCCTACTCCTGCATCTGAAGATGGAAGCTGGATAAATGCAAACTTCTAATGACCAGATGAGAAATCATTACAGTGCTATTTGCTATGCCATATGTGCACCCAGCAGTGACTTTTCCCTCTTAGGGGTGGCAAGAGATGCTTTGAATATAGAAGAGTTCATCTTGCTCTGGGCAACTCCGTGTCATCAGCAGAATCGTTGCACTGTCCCTCAACATGTGAGGCTTAAGGTTATTTGCTGGTGGTGAGTGTTGTACTCCTTGCCATCTCCAGACACCAGCCAGTTGTTCACAAATGGTTGGCAAGAAGAAAAGGGAGTGTAAGACTATCTCAATCCATTCCACCAAACTGTTGCATATTCCCAAAACTTCTCTGTTGAAATAGTCCCCATCAGAGAAATCTCATCTAGCAGACTCAGCGTGTTCTGCAGGAAGGTGAAGTTTGGCTGAAGACCGAGGGGGACTGAATAGCAGCCTTCAACTCCCGCAGGGTGGCTCCAAAGAGGATGGAGCTGGACTGATCTCAGTGGTGGCAGATGACAGACAAGGAGCAATGGGTTCAAGCTGCAGCAAGGGAAGTTGAGGTTAGATATTAGGGAAAACCTTATGAGGAAGATAGTAAAGCACTGGAACAGGACACCCAGAGAGGTGGTGGCGTCTCCATCCTTGGAGGTTTTTAAGATGCAGCTAGACAAAGCCTTACCTGGGATGATGTAGTTGGGGCTGGCCCTGCTTTGATCAGGGGGATGAACTAGATGTGACCTCCTGAGGTCCCTTCCAACCTTCATTTTTTATGATTCCAAAAACACCATGTGTGCAAGTGTACCTATGCAAAGACTTACCTGGTTTCCTGCCAACCTACCTGCTGGGTGGGCAGGTTGCCAGGCAGGTTGTCACACTTCATCAGAAGTATGCGTGCTAATTTTCCAGACTACTCTGTTCCCCTGTCTCCCAGGCTGTCTGGCTGTGCCCCGGTAAGCCTCTTGCTAGTCTAAATGAATTCAGTTCCCCTGTAACGATATTGTCTTAGCCGTTTCCTTCACAAGACTCTGAATTTCATTTCATTTCTGTCAATGCAGAACCAAAACCAAAAAAACTGGAAACCTTGAAGTAGTTTGCACTGCTGCCTTCAGTATCCACCATGAGAGCAGTATTCAGTGCTCTCATGCTCTCGTGCGCTCTCCCTTCCCTGTTGCTAGTCCTAGCAGTGGGTTGGTGACTATTACTGGGATTCCCCACATTTAGAAGTGGAAAATGCCATCCTTTCTTAAGCTAAAAGAAAAAAGGGGCACAATCGTCTGGGGATTGTCTTAACTGGGAAAAGTGGTCAGGTTTGGCTCAGGCTTATCTAGCATCTTCCTAGACACAAGAAGCCCATGCATTTTCTCCTCACTCCTTCACAGTCTCTGCTGTTCTCCATGTGCTCAGGAAGGACACAATCCCCTCATCCCTTAAAAGGACCCCGGGGTTGTTGCTTAAAAGTGACAGATTTCAAGTGATGTGGGAACATGTGGCTTTTGGAGCCACTGGAATTTTACCTTTAGACAAAAAGATTGCCACCACCTGTCCCAGCATCTCTGGGAACTCCCGACTGTGAGCTAGTTTTTCTTGCTGCAGCTGGCCTGTGTGCCTTGTTTCATTGATTCAGACTGAAGGCGTAATGAATGCATTTGCAGACGTTTGGTTTTAAATCGGGTCCTGGTGGCACACCCTAGATAAGCAAGGAGACAGGGCAGAGAGGGAAGGGTGTGTTGAAACTGCCAATGGATGTTTGACGCGCTGCGGCCAACACATGTTGCAAGAAGGTAATTCTCAGAAGGGGTCATTGGGCAGGGTGGAGTTCCCTCGAACCGCAGGACAAAATGACCTGAAACTTGGCTGGCTCAATCCACCCGTCGCCCTCAGCTGATTTAATCATTTTTTATACAATATAAACATAGAGAAGGAATCTGGAGCTTGTTTTCACCAGATGAGGACCTGACTCACACCTTTTAACAGGGCGTATTTGTCAGCATAGCAAACCTGCTTTTTAATGAAAATACAGTGACATATTCTTTTCTTAGAGCTCCTTAGTGAAGGTCCTTAAAGGAAAGATGCTTTAGTTTCTTGGCCTGAGGACCTGAGGGTTGAACAACCTCTGGGAAGGGAAGCTCATGTGTTTTACCTAGTCCATAAACATGTGTTGGGGGACTTAGTCTAGGTCTTTGCGAAGTGAGAGCCATCTATGCAGGTTCAAGGAAGTCATACTTCCAATGAGGTTAACACCAATATTATTTATCAAGCCATCCAAGTCCAGGCTTGGGGTATTTGGATGGGGATAAAACCTTGCTGAGTTGACCAAGGCAGGCCACATCTCGTCATAATCGTTCTCATTCAGATGAGTACACGAATGGGACATTGCACATTTTCCAGTTGTCAGAGGTTATACAATGCTGTTGACCAGGTAAAGGGCTTGATTCTCCTCAAAGTCCGGAAAGTGAGACTTAAGTCATGTATGCACGTGGCCCTGGCTCCTCTGTAGAAGGATGAATTTCATCCAAAGTGGCTATTATATAAGGAATGAAGGAAAAAGGAGAACAAAGTGGATATTGTGCAGAAACTATCTGGGGTGGTTTAGACAGGGATGAACCTGCCTTGAGCAGGGGATTGGCCTAGAAAACCTTCTGAGGAGACTTCCAGCCCACTTTTTCTGTTGCTCCAATTTCTATGACTATGATTTTAATGCAAAATAGAAAGAAAGTATGCTTATGTGTAATTTAACACTTTTAATTAATCATCCTTGTACATTATTTGGAGGAGAGCAGCATTCATTTTGAAAAGTTGAAAGTCATGTGGAATTATCGAAGGGTAATAATTTCCCAATCTCAAGCAAGCAGCTATTTAGAGCAAAGAAATCTTTTCAAGTTGAGAGAAATTTATTTACTTATTTAATTTTTATCTTACTTTTGCCTTGTAGCTAGAAGATGGTGTGACTGCACACTGAAGGAAGATTTTTATTCAGCAGCATGAGTACTGTAACGTGTAATGAGTGAAATTCCCTCTGTACAGAGGTAGTGAGTGGAAGTACTGACCCGGTAAACTGTCCAGTTCTCTGCTCACTTCTGGTTTCTGGAGTTTAAGAGTGGCCCTGTCTCTCCACATGATGGGGGCTGGATTTTCAGTTGAAGTGGTTTATAAAGCCTGGAGATGAAATGAAAACCAGAAGGCTGATACTACAGTGTGGCCATACTTAGTGTAGGAGAGACCTGAGATGCACCATCATAAAAGCAAATAATTCAGAGTAGAAAGAATGTCTTTCCAGAATTTCTAACACAATCATAGCTACTCACCTACTTGCCAAAAAGGCTAACAGCACCCTGGGCTGCATTAGTAGGAGTGTTGCCAGCAGATCAAGGGAAGTGATTCTTCCCCTTTATTAGCACTGATGAGACCACATCTGGATTCCTGTGTCCAGTTTTGCCCCCACCCCCCCACCCCCGCAGAAAGGATGTGGACAAGCTGAGGGGGGGTCCAACAACAAAAATGTTTGGCGGGCTAGGGGACATGACTTGTGAGGGGAGAACTGGGCTGATTTAGTCTAGGGGGAGAGAAGTCTGAGGGGGGATTGAATAGCAGCCTTCACCTCCCTGAAGGTTTGATACAAAGATGAAGGAGTTGGACTGTTCTCAGTGGGGGCAGACGACAAGGAGCAATGGGCTTAAGTTACAGCAAGTTTGGATAATAGGAAAA